GCTTTGGTTGTCTCCAAGTGAACAAACAAGCTCCCTTCCTCTTCCAAAGATAGAAATCCCCCCAAAAACACTGTGCAAATGCATTAAACTGAAAGCTTCTGTAGTACCCCAGTTCATAAGCATAGTAGTGAAACTGAAGGGCTTAGAGATGTAAAAATACTTTTAGCCTGCGCAAGATGGAGGTAACTCGCTTCTGTAAGTTGTCCCATCTCTGGTTCCCCTCATGAACCATCTGCTTGAGGCTGCAGTCAGAGTCAGTGCGGTTCTCTCGGGCCAGGCGGCGATATTGTTTATTGATCAGTTCCAACTGGGTCAGACTTTCATGCACTTGTCTCTGGAAGGCCTAAAGCAATATGAACAAAATACACCACCAGATTTTTATTTATTGAAACCAGGATACATCTGTAAGTCTCTCCCTTTATTTTGACCCTACTTCTACACTCTGACGTGTGTTAGCCGATAGATTTCACTATGGATGCAGACATCCCCTAAGGGTTAGCCTATTGAGAGGTCGCCTTCTGAACCAAAATGAGCAAAAAACCCAAAAGTTTACAAAACTGACAGTTCACTGAATAAGAAATTGCAACATGAATACTCGTTACAATTATGAAATAGTAAAAAATAGAAAAATAGTAAAATATAAAAAATAGTAAAAAATAGAAAAAGCAAAAAAAATAGACTTGCCTTTCTACTCAATCATATGCCTTTGAGAACAGAAACATGAAGAATGACTACGAAATTGCCTTTTTTTTTTTTTAAATGAACAGAAATCCAAGATTCCTGTGGCAGAAATTTTCATTAAAATCAGTTAACACATGAGATTACTACATGTACACAATATACTCTTTATATTGTACCAGTAAATGCTAAAAATTAACTAAGCATATTTCTGCTGTTACACCAGAGATGAAAGATGATTTGGAAAAGAAAAAAAAAAAAAAAGATTGACATCTCCAGAGTCCTCTCAATGCTCAGTACAACTGAATTCACTTAAAATTGCACAAGGAGGCAATTTTCATAACAGAAGCACAAATCTGACTATATATACTAGGATCACGAATCTAAATGGGTACAGTTGTTGTTTCACCTGTTACCAAGCCTTGTCCAGCAAAAGAACAGCTGTGTACTTGTCTTCCATTTTTTTCAGCTCAGCTACACAGGAATTTATCTTTTGCTTTCCTTCCTGTAGCCTCTTTCCATTACTCCATATAATACTGCAGAGGAAGGAGTCTAATTTTGTACACTAAAGTCAGTGAGAGCCATCTTTGAACTCTGTTCAGGAACTGAAAGGATCTTATATGTGCTGCTGAGCTCTTTTTTTGTTTGTTTGTTTGTAGTGTTGGTTTTTTTTTAGTTTTGTGGTTTTGTTTGTTTTTTAATTTAATTCTGCTGTAGATATGGAGGGGCAAATAAATAGCAAAAAAAAAATTCGACTTAGAAACTTGTTTCAGTTAGTATGTATATACGACTGGCTTTATGTTGACTTCACAGTGAAGCTGATGAATTCTGCTGAATTTGAACCCCCAAAATTTTGCCACTTGCATTACTGCTTCTTGGTAGGTGTAGAAACTGGGTGTTCAGAAAACAAATAAACCAAACAAACAAAACAAAAAAACAAAACAAAAACAAACAAACAAACAAAAAAACCAAAAAAAAAAAAGGAAAACACAGAGAAAGAATCAAACTGCAAGGAAAGTGGGTTTCTGAAGAGGCTGCTAAACTGTTCTCTTCGCAGAAAGATCCTGCTGACACTG